TATTTAAGCCACGGTAGGCTTTAAAAACTTTGTTGCCATGGAAATACCACGTTCTACAACGTTTGCCTCGGTTGGTAAGCAGGACTCGGGCATAGCTCGTAGTCATTGTGAATTTTTTATCGGTTTGTAGCGTCGGTGGCTTTTGAGCACACTTCTTAACCCTGTAACACCCATGAGTGGCTATAACAGAATTTCTTCTAACAATATCATTACAATATGAAACGGTCAAGTGATGATAATGAAAAAAATATAAATTAGGGGATAGTGATTATATAATCAATTATCAAATTCTCCCAACTAACATCATAAGAATCGTATGGCAGACAGTAAAGGGAATGACTAATGAGATCTTAAGAGTGAAAGGGTTAAAATAACAGCAACATTTCAGCGATTAGTTACATGAGAGAAGCCATTTTACGAAGTACCTAGGAGGTGCTTTGAAATTCCCAAAATTTTCAGCTCTGATTTTAACAACTTCGATAGTATATTCAGCGTAAAGAAAAGGAAACATTTTTATGGTGATATTCAATTAATCTGTCTACCCCCGGTTAGAGGAAAAATCCATTTTCAAGGGATGTTTACAAAGCTTCTGTGAACATGGAAAATTTGTATTGCACCGATGTCATGCTAATAAGTAGAAAGAAGGAGCTTTCTGACGGAAATGTTACAAGTTTAATAAATTTAGACCTTCCACTCTGATTTTTGTGTTATCCCATATTGCGAAAGAAGTTATTTGCATAAAAATAGAAAGCTGCTTGCTTCTCAAGAACCTCTTTTGGTGATGAAACTGTGTAAGAGGCTTACAGAATTGACAAATACTGAACTAGATGATTTAAGTTTGATATATACACTAAAGAATTTGTAATTGGAACGCTAATTAGACTTGTTTCATAAGTTTTATTTAATAATCAATCTAATAATCAAGGTAGTCGGTAACCAGAGGAACGACGTTTTAACGCAGAATTATGTATAAGCGTGGCTTCCACCGTTTTGCACAAATGTGCGTACGTGTACTAAGAGGAAAGTGACAGTATTTTTCATTATATCGTGTGGGTTCATTGTGCTCAGAGTACTAATCCCTGCTACAGCACAGCTACAGCTAGCTGAGTCAAGCAAAAGAGGTATGTTTCCAGCTCATACAGGCCGCTTGTGTTAAATTTTTCCAAAAGAAGTCAGGGTCACTTTTTGTCTGCCCTTTATTCTATCCTTAGAACAAACTTCTTCAAACATTTAGAGTTATATGCTTCAGTTTCTGTCAATTCTAATAGAGGCTTAAAAGAAACTCCTGAATTTCTTGCATTAGTAGCCATGTACTTTATGGGCCGTTTCTCTTTAACTGTGCAGAAAACTTTTGTGCCAGGGTTTATTTTTAATTTTTTTTTTGTCTCTTGTTTCCCACGAATTAGGCGATACAAATTTGTCTTACGTATTGCCGAAAAAGGATCGGTTTCTGTTCCATAGAAATTTGAAAATATAATCTTTATTTTGAACTGTCCGCTTTTCACTTTCTTCATAAAATTGAAACTTATGATACCTGCGGGGGCGAATCCCGCGCGAGTTGCTAGAGGGTGAATAAGTAAGGTTATTCGGAGTTTGCGTAGCCAATCAGAGCGCGCCCTCAACGCTATCCACTGCTATAGCGTATACTAAATGGGTATAGCTTCCCTAAATTATTGCTTCAGGGTAATAAGTTTTTCTATAAACAAGGATTCTCCTAATAAGATACAATGTATATGATCTTATTAGAAATTTATTGGATACATTAGTCTTCAAGAGTTCCTTTTTTTTATTTTTTCACTTCTTAACTTTACCCACTCAAAAATCGACTCTGTCAGAAAGTTGTAATAAAATGGCAGAGTTCACAGAAATACCAGTTGAAAGTCAGGAAACGGGATATAAGTCGACTCATCGTATCTAACAAAAGAGTTTTCGAAGTAAAAGGGTTAAAAACTATATTTAAGCCACGGTAGGCTTTAAAAACTTTGTTGCCATGGAAATACCACGTTCTACAACGTTTGCCTCGGTTGGTAAGCAGGACTCGGGCATAGCTCGTAGACATTGTGAATTTGTTATCGGTGTGTAGCGTCGGTGGCTTTTGAGCACACTTCTTAACCTTGTAACACCCATGAGTGGCTATAACAGAATTTCTTCTAACAATATCATTACAATATGAAACGGTCAAGTGATGATAATGAAAAAAATATAAATTAGGGGATAGTGATTATATAATCAATTATCAAATTCTCCCAACTAACATCATAAGAATCGTATGGCAGACAGTAAAGGGAATGACTAATGAGATCTTAAGAGTGAAAGGGTTAAAATGACAGCAACATTTTTTTCTGCTTGTTAAGCGATTAGTTACATGAGAGAAGCCATTTTGCTAAGTACCTAAGAGGTGCTTTAAAATTCCCCAAAATTTTAGATAGTATCTTCAGCGCAAAGAAAAGGAAACATTTTTATGGTGATATTCAATTAATTTGTCTACCCCCCGGCTACAGCAAAAACCAATTTTCAAGGGATGTTTACAAAGCTTCTGTAAACACGGAAAATTTGTATTGTATCAATGTCATGCTAATAAGTAGCAAGAAAGAGCTTTCTGACGGTTGATTCTGAGAGGTAGATTATCTTTATTGAAATCTCTCAAAGTTGGACTTGAAAAAAAATGATTCAGGTTTGGATAAGGGGCTGGTGCCTGTGAAGACAAATGTATGATAAGCGAGTTCTTTGTTCCTAGAAAGAAATTTGATCACAAAATGAATTATTCAACATACTGATACTGAATGACGAATGGTCATTACAAAGAAAATGCAATTGCCAAAATAACAGTGAAGAGACTTCAGGTTTCGAACCAAGATCTCATCAAAGATAGTGATTCAGCGCTTCTACCACCTCAGCTATGAAGCGTCATGTTGCAGGCCATGAAAATTGCTACAGGGAGTTATTCGTTCTATTAAACGAATTACATCTCAAGGGCCAACCTTTCTTTTATTATTCACCCGGAAAATAATGACAAAAAAAAGTATTCCAATCTATTACAGCCATCATAAAAGTGCCTTTCTAGTCACAGCTAAGACAATATAAAATTTCTTCACTTTATGGTCACAGTCAATCCTTTCGTAGAGGTCACCCTCGAGGAATAGCGGCATGACTGCTTGATGATCAGTGATCAGGTTGACCAGTAGATACGGGTTCCATACAATAAGGAACAAACGTGAAAGAAAAAAAACCGCCCTTTCATGCCATAACTGATCGCGCAGGTTACTCAAAAACTTGCTCAAAAATGCCTTGAATCCTTGTCAAGAAATAGCTTTGAAAAATGATTGTGCAGTGTGAGAACGATAGTCCGTCCTTAAATACACCTTAATGATAATCCTCCGACAACAAATTAAAAAAGGCCAAAAGTTTCCTCATTTTGGAACTTTATTACTAACATTACATACGTTTTCCAATGAAAATAACACAAAACTTTTTCTTACTTTGGTCGGAAATGTTACAAGTTTAATAAATTTAGATCTTCCACTCTGATGTTTGCGTTATCCCATACTGCGAAAGAAGTCATTTGCATAAAAATAGAAAGCTGCTTGCTTCTCAAGAACCTCTTTTGGCGATGAAACTGTGTAAGAGGCTTACAGAATTGACAAATACTGAACTAGATGATTTAAGTTTCATATCTACACTAAAGAATTTGTAATTGGAACGCTAATTAGATTTGTTCCATAAGTTTTATTTAATAATCAATCTAATAATCATGGTAGTCGGTAACCAGAGGAACGACGTTTTAACGCAGAATTATGTATAAGCGTGGCTTCCACCGTTTTACACAAATGTGCGTAGGTGTACTAAGAGGAAAGTGACACAGTATTTTTCATTATATCGTGTGGGTTCATCGTGCTCAGAGTACTAATCCCTGCTACAGCACAGCTACAGCTAGCTGAGTCAAGCAAAAGAGGTATGTTTCCAGCTCATACAGGCCGCTTGTGTTAAATTTTTCCAAAAGAAGTCAGGGTCACTTTTTGTCTGCCCTTTATTCTATCCTTAAAACAAACTTCTTCAAATATTTAGAGTTATCTGCTTCAGTTTCTGTCAATTCTACTAGAGGCTTAAAAGAAACTCCTGAATTTCTTGCATTAGTAGCCATGTACTTTATGGGCCGTTTTTCTTTAACTGTGCAGAAAACTTTTGTGCCAGGGTTTATTTTTACTTTGTTTTTGTCTCTCGTTTCCCACGCATTAGGCGATACAAATTTGTCTTACGTATTGCCGAAAAAGGATTGGTTTCTGTTCCATAGAAATTTGAAAATATAATCTTTATTTTGAACTGTCCGCTATTCACTTTATTCATAAAATTGAAACTTATGATACCTGCGGGAAATTTAAGTTATCCCAGAGTTGATAAGGTTTCTCTTCACCGTACTGTTTAACCAATTATGGAGGAAAATTATGCCATTATCCTCGAGAGGTTTATTTTAAGTTGATGGGTCTATGTCATTCTCAGTAGAGAGAGAGACGTCAGAATTAATTCTTAAAAATTTTTAACCCCATACTTTTCGGCTTTACAGTTTTGGAAAACCATTCAATAAGATTTTGGAGAGAAGTAGGAAATTATTCATTCCTCGGTATCAAAGATTTCAAAAACGATAGTCTTTGTAAATATAAGATTATGTTACTTATTTTCAAAAATTTCGGCGGCTTTGTTTCGTTCATGAATGAAAATGTTATCCACCAACTGAACAATATGCTTAGTATTTTAAGTATACTCCAAAACAATCTTGGACGGGTAGATTTCGAGATTAAACTTATTTAAGTCGACTAATTTATTTTCTCTCTCAGCTAGATTCTGCCAAACTTCCCAAGCAGATTATCGTGCTTCATTAATCATGTGCTACGCTAACTGAAATCTTAATGATTACAGGTTCGTCCTATGAATCAATCACCCTTATTATCGAGAAAAACTATCAAAGTAATGAATTATTTTCTTTTATTTTGCTAGCGGATCATCAGGTAAGAAGCCCAGTACAAGATGAATGTAGTGTTTGCTATTTCAGTCGTCAGCACGCTGCTGATTTGCCAGGCTGATATCACCCTCAGTCAATGTGATCAAGCTGATTGGTCGGTTAGTTTGGACAGGGCCACGTGGTCTACCTGTCCTAACAGTATGACCTACCTCAAGGGGATGTGGAGAAATGATAGACACCCTGGAGACGAGAGAGTTGGTCGCATCGAGTATGGAAGGTGCTGTCGGGCAACAGAACCAACTTATGTCCACAAACCTTCCACATGTTCAAACGCGAATTGGCTTCACACGCTGGATAGGTGAGTCCCACCATGAACTGACCTAGAATGAAATGGAGAAGCCATGCTCACGGAGACACTTTTATCCCTGACTGGGGCTATCTTGTGCGACTTCTTCTGAACATGTCATTCATTAGACTGGAGATTAAAGGGTCGTAGAAAGCAGTAAAAAAAAAAAGTGGAATAGACCTCGCCTGCAATGAATTTCAGCCTCGTGCAAAAAGGAGTGCCAATACTCTCAGCCGCTTCATATTAGTTCATGTTCTTGAAATCAGAATGCTACGGCGTTTTTGGCAAATTGACTTATGCATGAACTTAAACTTAGTTTTTCTTTATATCGTACAAAGTTCTTTGTAAGCGCAATAATGTGGAAAAAACCCACGCGCTTCTGATTGGCTTAAAACGAGTACATTCTCATGCAACACGAGTTCAAAGTTGTAACACGAGTGCAAATTACAAATATAGCGCGCGCACGCTTTCAAAGTTTACTTCGTCGGTCTTGACTTTCTGTGATATTTTTCATTGAAATTATTAATTAGTAATAACATTGTTTCTCTTGCAATTTGGTGTAATAAGCACTTGTAAATTTTTCAAAGACTACAAATTGCACTCTTTTCACGGGATCGTGCAATTTGTAGTCTTTAAAATGGTTACTCAAGCTTATTAACACCAAATTGCACGAGAAATCATGTTATTACCTATACCAATTTTATCTTAAGATGCTTTGAAATTCTCTTCTAGAACTCATGTCTGGGCACTGTGCCCTAATGGTTACTACATGCAAGGTATGAGGCTCGGCGCTGGTCCGCCAGCCTATCTGCACCACATTGACGAGGCAAAATGTTGCCACCCTCAAGGTCATCCAAACAGTTATGAACACTGTTACGATCAAGATGTCACATATTCCTTCGACAATAAAGGTTGGAGCGAGTGCCAACAGGTGGGCTACTACATGACTGGCTTCTACAAAAGCGACTGCAACGATATTTATTGCATCGAAAAATTTCGATGCTGCAAGATGAAAAAAGGTAAATCTGATCACCACATGGAAAGTCAGTAAATACTAGAAGAACTCTAAATATGCAATGGGTAACTTTACCAAGAAAGATGTAGGTAACAGGAGATGTACCTTTCTTTATACTATTATTCACGTTAGAAGCTTTCAACGCTGTAAATCTTAAAAACATGTAGGGCGGTGGTTTCTATGTGAACTTACAGTTAAGCCCATGACGCTTCCGGTCTTTCTGCAGCTTAGCCGACAGATCAGCTCACAAGACAATCGAAGGTGGTAGGGTCCAAGATCTAAAATCCGGAGAATCGGTCATTCTTCTTCCTACTGCGCTGGTCACTTAATTTTAACCTCTTAATTTTAATATTTGAATCATTGCTAAAAGAGAGTTCTGAATACACTTTTATACGGTTCAGCAACACTCCTCTGTTTTGCTTTCAGCTGCTGTTAATGGAGGATGGAGCAGCTTCGGACCTTGGGGACAATGCAGCGCTACATGTGGGGGTGGAACCCAAGAACGCTCACGAACCTGTACAAATCCCCCTCCGTCGGGCGGTGGAGCGCAATGTGTAGGGCCCAGCAAAGAAACACAAGCCTGTAATACTCATGAATGCCCTGGTAGGTACATGTACCATATTTAACGTTAATGTACGTGAATGCTTATTCATCTCATTCCCATGGAGTGCAGATCTACCGACGTGAAGTTCCTGCGTTGTGCTAACAATGCAGCTTGCCACATTAGTAAAACACAACTCACAAACAGAATGACGTACAGCCATCATATGGCAACCACATTTTTGCAGTTTGTCAGGCCCTCTTTTCTTAAGTTTTGGGCTCCGCTTGCCAATTCTGTGCGTAGGCCCTCCGCTATGATTATATGATGTTTCCCTTTCCAAGTTGCTGTAATATTCTAACACCGTTCGTTTAAGTTACGTAGGCCAACTAGTATACTAATTCTTGTCCCAATGTTATTCCAGTGAACGGTGGTTGGAGTGACTGGGGAGACTGGGGACAATGCAGCGCTTCATGCGGTGATGGGCAGCACGCACGCTCGCGCACTTGCACCAATCCCCCTCCGTCAGGTGGTGGGGCACAGTGTTCAGGAGACAGCCAAGAAACACGGACTTGCAATAATGGACCTTGCAATGGTAGGGGACTTATGACAATTTAGTGTTAAATTAGCTAAATCTTGTCATTACCAGGAGCCCATTGGCTCCTGTCATTGCCTATTATCGAGTTACAGTAGGACCTTGGTATTTATTTTAGACATTCCTGTTATGTCATCTTGGTAAATTTACCTAAGCGGTGACATTTTAGTCAATGGCGAAGTCAGCTAAGTATTTTACTATTTCAGTTGACGGAGGGTGGAGTAACTGGTCAAACTATGGTGAGTGTAGCAAGAGCTGCGGCAAGGGGAAAAAATATAAATATCGAACGTGCACCAATCCACCCCAGTCAGGCGACGGAAAGGACTGTGACGGGAGGGCGAGGAAGGGAAAGAAATGTAGAGAGGCTTCATGCAAAGGTACGATAAATCCTTCTATTTCCTTTTAGCTTAACGTTCACAGTATGAAATAATATGATAAGCTGAATCTTACACGCATTCAGATTGTTTCTAGATCCATAGATGACATCAAATTTAACAACATTTTGCTTTTTTATCGTATAAAACAAATGGATTCCATGCTGCATGGAGTCTTTATAGTAAAACACCACAGAAGATAACAATTCTGGTTTTTTAGAAACGAGGTTAAAATGAAAAGGTTTCTCACACTATATTCGCTTTTCTTTTTCTATTCATAAGCTTTACAAGATTCAAAATTGAGGTCAAATAGTCGCATATGCGCATTCCTGTCATGTTATTAAGTCGATTTACCTAAGTCGTGACTTATCAGTTGGTGTTTCGTCATTTAATCATAACCATTTCAATTTCCTCAAACGTGATTGGTGCATTAGCTGCTTTATTTTTTCACTAATCATTTTGTGGTGCTGTAATCGGACAGTTGGCTGTAATCGGACAGTTGGCTGTAATCGGACAGTTGACTGTAATCGGACAGTTGACTGTAATCGGGACACCTGCAATCGGACAGTTGAAGCAGCCAATCATACTAAGTCCTCTCAGCCAGATCCAGCAATCACAGAGTTAATTACAATAACCATAGCAACAACCACTTAACCGAGGAAAAATTGATGAATTTCCAAATAATATTTTTACTTTAGACATTGTCCCTACCGAAGATATTTGACCTAAATGTATTTGGTTTTTTTTCGGAAATTGTAACGGTTATGATTAATAGGTAACAGGACTTCTTGCCGTCCAATTCTGTCCGCAATCATACTCGTGATTGACAAATTGGACTCCCTCTTCGCGGTCGTCCAATTTAGCTAATCCCCCGTACGATTATAGAGCGAATTGTACTCCACTCGGTCCTATTGCCATTATTAATTGTACGAATATAGTGAATGGAGGTTGGAGTAAATGGTCAGATTACGGCGAGTGCAACAAGACTTGTGGCACGGGGAAGAGATATAAATATCGTACATGCACCAATCCACCCCCCTCAAAAGGCGGAAAGGACTGTAGAGGAAAAGCGAGGAAGGGAAAGAAATGTAAAGTGGCTTCGTGCAGAGGTAAAATGGACTTCTCTCCACCCTTTACATCCCAATATTATCATACATAATCTCTATACTATACTCAAGAACTTTACAAGCTGTTGATCATTTCCTTTATTCTCATGACCTTGAATTTTGATTGGAGAGTGACTTTGGAAGGAGATTACTATGTTAGTCACTCTTGGGAATTAAATGGTAGAATTTCTTTCAGTTTAATATCCGCTATACGAATTAAGTCCAAAAAGTTCTTAACAAGCAACGCGTGTTGTCGTTTAATAAGGTTTTGTTGTCTAATGCAACTTACTACGCCAAATCTACTACCTTTTATAGACCTCTTTGACTAAACAGAATGCGTTCCACGCCGGACGTATGTCACTAAATGTCGCCCATGTAGAATAGTATAACATATGATCAACAGAACAGAAATAAGTTGCGTCATGTTTTTGTTAGTTCTTCGCGTCAGTTCTTTTAAAAAAATGAAGCATTAAAACGTTTTTCAAACTGAGATGGTAGAGATGCCTTTTAGTCTAAAATGAAAAAAAATTGCATCTTTTGTAGTAAAAGTGATGTGGAGAATACAAAGCGAGAAATGAAGAAATTCGATCATACTGTTAGCTTAAAACAGCGGCTTTCCAGCTTTTAATTGTATCTGAACAAAATACTTTGAAATAATGAAATGTTTTGCCTATTTTGACAGGAAATTGAAAGGAAAGGAAATCCGCTATATTTAAGATATACCAGTGAGGTTAGTTTTATTGTTTCTATCCATCACAGAGGAGTTGCAGCATTTTTATATAAAGATGGTTGAACGTGAATTTTTTTCATGTTGAATAGCTGTTTTTTCAAAGCTTATTTTTTCAAATCCTCTCAACATTTTGGCTTTGTTATCATGATCCTGAACAGCATCTCTTTATTTTTCCTTGCAGGTCTTTTGGAAAAAAAGGGGTGCTTTTTGGGATCGCTTTCCATTATTTGATTTTTTGGGCTGATTATCCGTATATTAAGCTTATCTCAAATGGAAATATTGAAGTATCGAATAATTTATGCTGCTGTTGGGTCGATACCAAATGAGACTGATATCCTTACTCTGTAATTTGTGATTATTAACTTGGTGAAAAATGAATAAAACCATTTACAGGTGCATGTTATCGTTGTGGTCTGTTTGATTAATTCGAATAGGAAATTTCGATGCTGCGTATGCAATTTCAAGCCTTCCTAAAATATGATCCATGGAAATTTTTTGAACACAGCGGTATAATAAAATAATATGTAAGGACACTTCAAGTTGGTTTCAATTGCAGCAAAAAAAAAATGGGCGGCTGAGTGGTAGTATAAACTCGTGATACTAATTGATGATTTAAAGATATTCAGTTACCTCGTTCTATACTCTGTTTACGCATGGCACGGGGGGCAGTATCTAAGTTAAATAAAAAATGGGTTTTTTTTTCGTGCTCGACAACAAAAGAATAACAAGATGCTACTCAACATAGTACAGTAAAGATTAGATATAAACAACAATGTTGAAAAAAAGGTTTTGACAGGTGTCTTTTAAGCGTTTGTGTAATGAGATGCTACGTATAAAATTTACTAATTTTTTATTGAATGTGTTTTTGTTTAGCAAAAACAACGCGAAAGTCTCTTTGTTATTCTAAATTACAAGGACGATTGGGTCGTCAACGCTTCACTTATCGTTTTAATTTCCTTAAACAGAGGGATACCCTACAGAAATGAGATGGAAGTACAATCCCCTAATTCTTTGAAGAATAAGTGCTGGTCAGCTGGGGTTGCATGTAACAATTCCGCTCTCACTATTCTTAAACAAACTATTCGAAAATTTTCATTCAAACCGATAATTGCGTCCTCTGTTCTGATGAAAAAAAGAGGAAAATTATTGAAAAATGGCGCATTCATATTCAAATTGCCTCTAGAGGAAAGTCTTGCCAGTCAGCCTCGACTAATGTTAGGGAAAAAAAGAGTACATGTGAAATGATGTTTAGTCCCAACCCGACATTTGGCTGCAGTTTTTCCTTCAATATTTTTTAATCTCGCTGAAGGACAGGAATTATAAGACAGAATTGTCTGGACACTACATTAGACATGAATCTTGGAAACGTTTTCTATGGCAACCGTGAGAGTTTTTACCACAGGCGTTTAAATGAAATTGTTAATCTACACGTCAAGTTACGTGATGACACGTTATGCTTTTCTCTTTATACGCAGCTATTTTTATTCACGGTTAAAGAATTGATCAAGAATTTCACACTGTGTGCTAAACGTTTTCGTTTTAAGAAATACAGTAAACAAGAGAAAAGGCAAAAAGCTTGATTGTTTGCAAGAAAAATTTTAAAGAATCAATCGAGAGGTCTTCTTCCGTTTTTAACAAGACGACATCCTGGTTATCCAAGGCATTCGTGAAATAAAGTATAGAAGGGGTAAATTTGGGACAAATTTTCATCATTTTGAGTTAGAATTCCAAGACTGCATTAGTTCATCTCACTTTTCAAAACCACAAGTTTTATCAGAAGGTTAGGAATGAATGATCATCAATATTCACTTCCTGTTAATGAGAAACAATTTCCATTCCAAAAAGATGTTTGCTTTTTCAATCGGGAATACGATGTTTGGTAAACACGAGGGTAAACGAAGGAAAAAGTAGGAAGAAAAACGAGAGAAAAACTGGGTAAAACGAGGGCAAAACTGAACGAGGGTAAAACTGACGAGGGCGCAAACCCTTCCCGGGTTTATTCACCGCGTTGCGTTCATGGACAAGATATTTCACTCTCACAGTTGCTCTTTCCACCAAAGAGAGAGAGGAGACTCTGAGACTCTGTAAGGGAAAGCCTGTTATTGCATGACCCTTGAACTCCACTTAATTTCATCGTCATAAAGGATCGTTTCCAAAATTGATTTCATTTTCCATCTGTGACCGCCTCTTGGGTCTACAGATGAGAAAACATAAAAGATCCTAATTATGAATTGATCTCTAAGAAATTCAATACATATAAGAAAACTCTTTGGGCCATGTCAACCTTAATTAAACATCTATTGGCAAATTAGCCGGAGAAAAGGCAACATTTTGAGTCATCCCATTGGCTCGTTAGGCTTGAAAAGTACCGTTGTACTTAGTCAGATCCCGAATTGTACGTCTCAGACTAAAAAGCAGGTAAGGAAGATAACATATGTCGAAGGCTATCAAAATTCATTCGTGAATTGAAACTTGAAGTATAAATTTTTTTAAGATAACTGCTTCATATAACTTACGTTTCTGGGTGAGCTATAAGGACCATGTATTATAGTTACTTAAGTTTTACACTAGAGTGGATGTAATGGTAGCATTCCTTGCTGGTGAAGTTTCTTCTGATCTTAAGTGCAGACACATCGCTAAGTGCTTAAAATTACTGAATTCTCCAAAACTCTTTCAACTCTTGTTTTTTCCTTGTCATGTTTTCAGACAAACCTATAGCGATTGCACCCCCAATAGAGATGAATCAATAATTTTTAACAAGTCATCCAAGTACATGTAAAATGATTTATAATTGGGTCTTAAGAATTATATCTGGCGAGAGCGTTCGAGGTCCAAAAGTATCCATTGCAAGGTACTCATTTCTGCAAGCTGAAAATAAGCAAACAAATAAGAAAATAAAAGCGCCTACATCGCAAAATTCTACCTTAAGGCTAATTACTGGCACCTTGCTTGGACGCGAATGTTATTTTCATGTATCTCTGCTTATCACTCTGAGTGCAGAGCTTCTCGGCAACATCACTCTAGCAATATTTTACATTACGTTTTATAATATGGCGATCATGTATCCGTGGGAGGTTTTTAAAGCAAATTCAATTTCTCAGCCAGATCCTTTACTGTACCGTGAAGGTGTATCATTTCACGGAGCGGCAAGTCAAAAATCAAGATAATCTACAGTAGACATCAATGACACCGTCTTTTTCGCTTCAGATTCAGGATGCGGTGCGTTTTTGCCATTCAACTTATCAGTGTATTGATGATTTCCCACGTTGATCTTAGCTATGGCCAGTGTTCGGATATCAGCTGGCATTCAAGCCTAGACCGAGTGGGGTGGTCCACTTGTCCCGATTCTAGAACTTATCTCAAGGGATTGTGGAGAAACGATAACAAACCTGGAGACGAGAGAGTTGGGCGCATTGAAACTGCAAGATGCTGTAACGCTTTTATTTCAGCCTATCACAAACAACCTTCAACGTGCTTAAATGCAAATTGGGCGCAGACTTTGGATAGGTGAGCAATTTGAGGAAAATAATAACATAACTTCAATCTTAACCCCGTAACTATACTTTGCAAATGAATAAGGTAGAACGATTTGTTAAGTTCAGCTTTACTGAAAAAAGAAAAAACATACCTTCATGGTAATAAGTGATAAAAATCGTGTATCGAAAAATGGCTAGAGTCCAACTCGATTAAAATTAAGACTTCAATGGGCCTTTGGTTCCAAAAAACACGTGACAAATTCATGCGTCAACAAAAAATTTGAAAAAACAACTCAACTCAAGAATCAAAAATAATGAATGGAAGTTTCCACGTCAGTTTCGAATGCCAAGTTCAAATTTGTGGACTGGATTGGCTTAGTTATCGAATCACACGCAGCACGTTAATATGAAATAACACAATAAGGGGAAAGGGAAAGGAAGAGACGATTGTAGTTAGAAATATCATCTATTTGGGCATTTCTCAGTTATACACGCATTCTGATTGGTTCTCACTTATGATCTATTGGAGGACAGATGTATAGATGACGTCATCATTAAAACTTTTTTTAATTATTTATTATATAAAACTAATAGATTCGAAGCTGCGCCTCGTGTGCCACTTTTTTGTTCTTACCACATTTTGACGTCATCTGTGATCTATTACTAAACAGACGCACGATAACTTGGAATCTATTTCTTAATTAGTACACCAATTATTGTTACAGATATGCTACTGTTACGGACAGAAAATACTTCCATATTCAAATGTGCAATGTTAGTATTGTTTCTCTCTATTAACAAACAACTTTCGACATGCTCAGATATTAAGTGGCCGTGCACCATGGGTAGAACTAGTTTTCATGCTGTCTAACACCGGAGAAAAAAAATAAACGTTTATGATAAAGAGAACTATATAGATATTTCTTTTCCATTCCAGAAAATATGTCTGGGCTCTGTGTCCTGCCGGTTATTACATGCAGGGCGTAAGGCTCGGCGCTGGTCCACCAGCCTATCTAAACAACATTGACGAGGCAAAATGTTGCCACCCAAAGGGTCATCCAAACAGTTTTGAACACTGCTACGATGAAGACTACACTTATAAGTTTGACAATAAAGGTTGGGCGTTCTGTAAGCAATTGGGCTATTACTTGGTGGGTATTTACAAAAGTGACTGCAATCAACTTTACTGCCTGGAAAAGCTCAGATGCTGCAAGATGAAGTTAGGTAAACGTTCTCTATTTTCATTTCGAATCAATCTCTAACAGTAGAGCGAATGATGAAGGGCTGGCACTCCAAACGTCAGCTTCAGAAACTTTTTATGGTGGCCAATTGATATCAACTGTGTTGATGAAACTAAATTATTTTTTAATACCTCCAACCGACGCAGCACCACAGTTTCTTACGAAACTTACCCCCCCACCTTTATTTTTAACGGTATTTCCCAAAATAACAGTTAAATTCATTTTCAATTCAATGATAGTTTTTATATTGCCGTGAGACGCTGAACTTTGGGTGGTATAACCTGTATCACAGGAATCATTTCGTATTATTCTTGTCACTACGAGAAAACACATTCTTTAACATTGACAAAGTCCTTTTATGATCGCCCTTTTTTAACCGTATCCGTACAATTTGGACAAATTGGGTGGTTAAAACCACATTATACCCATTATACCCTGAAATTATACCACCGCTGAATTATCATTATAATAGCATAAGTAATTCTGAGCTCAGAGATCAGCGAAAAATTGAAGAATTATTACAGAATAAATTGAAGCCTGTATTCATCAACGAAAGGGGTGAGCTTCGCAATCGAAGACTTTCCTAAAAACATAATCAAATTATAATCACAAGTGAAATGATTTCTTTACAAAAGTGCTAAAATTTCAAAAGCTGACTATCAGTATATTTTGTTTTTTAAGGTGCTGTTAATGGTGGATGGAGTAACTGGGGAAACTGGGGACAATGTAGCGCTACTTGTGGACAGCATGCACAGCAAGAGCGCACGCGCAGCTGTACCAATCCTCCTCCATCACTCGGTGGGGCGCAATGCAACGGAGAAAGCAGAGAAACAAGATACTGTGGTGGCCATGCTTGCCCTGGTAAGAGTATTTTTATTCATTACAAGTGAAGGAGGCTTCTTTCACGTAGAAACCCTCACTGTCTACAGATGCGATAGAGTATAAAACTCGCTCAAGATAATGTGAAAAACTTTTACGTTTGCAGTCAATGGAGGGTGGAGTATGTTTGGACTTTGGGGCCAATGTAGTGCCTCTTGCGGAATTGGATATCAAGAGCGCGTACGCTCCTGTACCAATCCTCCTCCTTCCGGCGGCGGGGCGCAATGTTCAGGTGAAAACAGAGAAACAAGGTCTTGTAATGGTGGAGGGTGCCCAAGTAAGTAAAACTCTATGAGGTATTGCACATGGGGGGAGGAGGGGGGTCATTATTTGCCGCGATGGGGAGGGGGAGGGAGGATTTTGGTTGTATTACGATAGAATTTACTCGATCCCCTTAGGCTTTGTAATACTATCATGACCACCCCTCCCCCCTCATTGGGCGTTGATTGACAGTAATTTTTCCATAGTACCTCTTTTTCACTCCGTTGGCGAGGACTGATCCTCACTCATGAAAACTATGTGTTGCCCTCCAAAGTCCTTTAAACCTCCTAGCGATAAAAAAAGGCCACTTGCATTAAAATTCGCATGCTCTTCAACTGTCACTTCAATATTTAGCAAACGTAGCTGGGATGCTCTTCTTAGATGCTCTGTGTAGTTTTCTAACTAGTCTAATCAGCAGATCCTCTTTTAATATTCCTTATCAATACTCGGCAAGAACGACTTATCATAAAAGAGTGACTGTGTTTGATTTTAGCAAATGGAGGATGGAGTAGCTTTGGAAACTGGGGATTATGCAGTGTCAGTTGTGGAGCTGGTGTACAAGAACGCTTTCGAACCTGCACTAATCCCCCTCCCTCCGGTGGTGGGGCACAGTGTTCAGGGCCCAGTGCAGAATCAAGGGCTTGTAATAGTGGAGGCTGTTCTGGTATGGGTGATTAAATAGAAAGTACTCTCCCACGACATATAAGCATAAAATGTCTGGTCAGAGTTTCCGGATATGTTTTACATTTAAGCTTATATGTTAGGTTTGTTTTATATCCCTAGCAAGCTGAACCTAACTAACTAACTCTCTGTAATTGATTTCAATGGATTTTAATGAAATTCCAGGGAAAGAGGAATCCAGTAAACTTGTTACCGCGCTTCCAACAGAGGTCTTCCTCCTGGGTTGGCAGCGGTGCTCATTTGAAATTTGGGACGCAAGCATTAGAATCTATTCCGTCAACCTCTTTAACCCTTTAACTCCTACGAGTGACTAAGACAAAATTTCTCCCTACAATATTAATACAATATCAAGGAGACAAGGGATGAGAACAAAGAAAAATATCGATTAGGGGATAATCAGTTGATCCAATACCAAATACTCCGATCTAACAACACAAGAATTATATGGCAGACAGTAAGGAGAAGTACTAATGGATCTTGGGAGTTAAGCTTACCTGCAAGGATCCGTCCTTAGCTTGGCTTTCTTTATTATGATTACATAGTTGACGGTGGCTGGAGTAACTTTGGAGAATGGAGCCAGTGTACTAAAACTTGTGGAGGTGGAACCCAGATGCGTGCAAGAACGTGCACCAATCCTCGACCGGCATATGGAGGTAAACAATGCGTTGGAGACAGCAAGGAGGAGCGAAAGTGTAACACTGGTCCATGTGCAGTACCAAATGGTAGGTCAATCATTTTTGAACCATCATTTTGAAGATAATAACATATATAGCATAAGGCTTAAGTTATAGAAAGGAAAAAGTCAGTTTATCGAGGTGAAGATCTAGATGTGGTTATTCTATAATCTCAGCTGCTGCCATATTGATCCTTAAACTATTTGGAACTTAAAGCTAGCCAAGGCTACTCGATATTGTCGTGGTTTTAGTATGGTAAATGGGCATGTATGCGTATGCATCCTGATGTCATGGTGGAAACGGTTATTAATAAAGGTGGAGGACATGTTGATTGTTTAATCGACCAATTTTTGGAAGTTTTTGCATCGTTTTAGTTGATGGAGGGTTCACTCAGTGGTCTCCGTTCTCCAAGTGTAGCAAGACCTGTGGTAAAGGAAAGAAGACTCGCCACCGCGAATGCACCAACCCACCCCCATCGGGATTTGGAAAGAACTGCAAAGGACCATATTCGCAGACTATGAAATGCAAAGTGCGTTCATGCAAAGGTATGGGATACAATTAAAAAGGAGATCATTGAGGTTAGAAATTGAATTCCTTCGGAGTTTATTCTCAGATGGTAGATCATTCTGTTTCCGGAGATCTCATGACGATCTGAAAATAATCTGCTTCTCATGCGGACGTTCCAAGGATCCCGCCTGCTCAGGTTGACTATACGTCGTCTATTACCAAGACAGTGCCATCACTGCCTGTAAACCAAGAACAGAGACCTAGAAGTCTAAAAATATGCTAGGGACGATTACTTTTGGAATACGATCTATGTATTTGATCTCAATCTATTGGTTTGGTCCGTTTTTAATAATTAAACGGCTTAAAAAGCTGAAACAAGTTTCAGTACTCGTCGAACTTCTTTCTATGAAAGTTGCGAGAGATAGTTTTGACTATCAGTAATTCTGTTGACTGCAATGTCATCAGCTACAGTATCTTTGAATACTCTCAAGTTAGGTAAATTGGTCAAGGTGAAGAGTGACAGCCAAGCAAAATCAACTCACACGTAACGCTTCTGAATGTTAAGAAATATATGCCAACTATTTTTCTTTTACAGGAAAGGGGAAATAGTTGGAATGTACGACGAGAAAGCAGGTAAATATTGTAACAAGTGTAGCAGAAAAAAGGAAGCGGTTGGTCGTGTTTAAGGAACGTAGCGATTGAGTGTTATAGCTTGCCGTGCGATGGGGTCGTTTTGGAAGTAGATTTCTATGCTTTGGTTATAACCTGCCACTCTTCTTCACACAATGAATTCTACTGGTTACGCATAGCCTTACGAAGCACTATGCTTCGCTGGGATTGGATGGTTTCAAACAGTCGCCGATGATTTGTTCATTTCGATCCTCACTGGTTTGCGCATGCGCGAATTGTATCCTTTTTTTGGCTTCTGTCCTGTACCTTTCCTATAGTAAATGTTGTTGATTATGGGGACCAGTAGTATTTTGTATTTCTGTGTCTCTCTAATTGAAGGTCTTTTTTTTTTAATCAATGTCTTGTTTTGATCGCCATCAGTGAGGTTACCATCAGTAAACTTTTTTTCTAAAAATAAGGCGCGTGATGTCGAGTGTTGAAGGCGTGCTATGAAAGGGGTAAACCTCGATATCATCAATTCCAATAAGTATTCAAGAAATTGCTCACGACGAAGAAATACTCTTTGCCACGTTATCACGTTTAGATGAAGATTTGAAAGTAATCGTATCCCACTTGAAACATCGCGTGTGCCATTTCTTTTGAAACACTGATGACCTACTTTACGCTTTTATGCATAACGACGCTCACTTGGCCAAGACATCCACTGCAACAGAGAAAGGACTAATCTTATAAAATCTTTGATTAGTTTTCAGATCCATGCCACGGTGAATAAAAATTGGAAGTGCTAAAGGTGTCTGTAACTGAAGGCTAAAACGTTACACAATACTGGAATCATCTGTCCTTACTGTAGAGCAAGCTGTGATGAAATTATCTGACCTTGCGAGCAATAAACAACAAAAATAACGCATCTTGTAGATTTGGTTCTTAAATAAATCCACGACCAAAAGTGTTTAGATTGAGATAAGAAAGATGGAAAATTTTGAGCTCGGTAAATGATAAAGGAGGAAGTTTTTAGAGTTATCACGAGCATGGAGCAAGAAAAAAACGGAGTATCCATGTGGCTTGCCAGGTTACAGTTTTTTTCCTTTTTCAATACAATTGAGTTTAAAATTTTTTAAACAGGTTTTAAAGAAAATATTAGCACGTCTTACGTCAACTCATTGGTTTTCACCATAAATTCTTTACTTAAAAAGAGAAACGAAACGTTTACCAAGCCAAGGATAACTGAAATTTAGCGCTTTGTCAGTAATGAAACAAGTATACATTCGATTCCATAAGGGAGAAACATGATTCTAAATTATAAAAATCTCCGAGACCCCCCCTTATCCCATTTTCTTGGTCTTTTATTCTTGTTTTCTTTGGGTGAGTGACGATCATATTGATTTAGCATACCCACCCCTCCCCTCACGGTTGTTTCCCAATCATATCTTATCTTTACAAAACAATAGCCTTTGTCAGGTGATCTGATTAAAACCATGTGCCAGTAACATTTGAAAATTTAACTCGTTATACAAAATGACAACTTATGAAGGGAGCGTGTCGAAAAAAATAATCCATCATGGGTGCTCTAAATTAAAAATCTAAAAGAATAAAACAATAAAAAAGGACATCTTGTACAGGTGGTTCTTAAATAAATTTATTGACGAAAATAACTTGACTGGAATGAGTAAGATAGCGAGTTTTGAGTATGTTAAAAGAATGAACAAAGAGGTCTTGTCGTGTTGTCACGACAGTGGGACAAAAAAAAAAACAAAAAACAGAAAACAAGCACCTGCACTTTACACTTTCACTTTTAAAAGTGAAGCAGCAGTTCGCTCTCTATAGTAAATAGTACTCTTTTTAACCAATATTCGTAGCATGGACTGCTGAGCTGACGGATAAGCTGCTGAGCGCTAGCGTCTAAAATCTTATGTTTTTTTTCTTGGACCATGAACGCTCAGAAAAATAATGATACATCTCTCCAGCGTCCTTTTCATATAATCATTTGAACCGAAAACGAAAGCTTTAAATAGATCTCCACGTAAATCGTATGACTGCAAGCCACCAATTTAGTTGAGCTTCAAAATTTCCCTTTCATTTCTACGCTATGTTTAGCCTTTCTTTGAGCAATATAGTTTTTCCAATTTAAGTTAATACTATTTACAAACATGTTTAAAAATGTTTTCATCAAATTTTAAAAGGGAGCATGCCGTAGCTCTTCTTATATTACCTTGTCGTTGTTTTCTATTATAAATGTTTTACTTAGAAAGAAGAACGAAACGTTTACTAAACCAACGATAAATTTTACAGTTTTATTAGCATTGAGACAGGTGTGCAGGTGTGCACCTCTTTCAATAATTAGCCTCAAGACGAGGGATAAACATTCTCATATGCTAATGCTATGCACCTCTTTACCTGCTTTATTGATTGAAAAACAATACTGTGTTCTCGGAATGTGCGCGCTTATTCGCCTGATTACGTGTTTTTATACACAGTACAGGATGCGCAATGCAATAATGAGGAATCGCCTTAAGGGTGATTTAAGTTAGAATTAGAATTTCCCGGTGACATTTTCAAGAGAGAAGATGTGCCAATGTCCTTAGCACCTTTCTCTGCGAAAATATAAAGGCTGCTAAAACAATTGAATCCTTGGTTCAGTATCGAAGACGGCTCAATGTTTTTGAGTCGACCCGCTCAATGTTTTTGAGTCGACCCGATATTTTCTCTGCACGGTTCAAGTTCAAGAGCGCATTGGGTTGACCATAGCCGTGACCATAGCTGGGCAACCTCTCCTTCTCTGTCTGATGTTAACTCTGAAGAATGGCCGAGAAAGGATCAGTTCTCGAGTGACAGTGGCTCTCGATGGTATCAGACCGCGGTCAAACACCAACCTGTCGGCTATTCTTTAAATCTTGTATGCTGCGTAACACTAGAAATTGCATTAATCGATATTAATAACCCTTGATAGTCTATCGAATTCCAAAAATTATTTACTTTCTTAAGGTGCTACCGTTCTTATGACAAACTGACGTCGATCATTTGTTCCATTAAACTTGAGGACTCAATATGAAAATTATGTATTTTTCAACAAGGAAAAAAGACAAAGGAAAGTAACGCTGAGGATCAAAGGCAATGGCTGACCAATGATAATTTTTTTCTGCTATTGTTTGAATAATCCGATAGAGTCGGACCTTTGTTCGAACTAAGATTGGTGTTGAGAAATGAAAATTGAAAAAAATACTGGATAATTGATAGTGAATGTGTGCGCGTTATTCTTTCGTTGGTGTGTAATCATTAGCTTTCAACACGATTTATGCAACGTGAAGAAGTGCTTGTCTAAGAAAATCACCTGCTGTGAAAGAGAACAACTCTTTAGACTATTCACCGACAAAGTATTATCTTCAAATAACTCTATCCTTGTGAACATTTTGCCAAATATCGTTGCCTTAATAGATGATAAGAATTCGTGTGTGCTTTAAGCAATAGTTTTGTGGGATTTTTTCTTCTATTTTTGCAGCCGAATCAGTCACAAGTGAATATACGCTGATCTTAAAGAGATCAGTGTAAACCCATTGGGGCACTTTTATTCTTTCACTTTTATCATTTTTACTCATTGTATATCATCAAAACACTCCCGCACAGTTGCAACTGCGCCGCTTAGCCAAACACACACTCCTGGTGAGTTAGTTGTTACAGAGAGATGTCATTCTTTAGTCATGAAAATTATTATCTAATAACCTTGTATTGGGTTGTCATACTGAGAAGTTTCATTCGTATCATGTTAAATACCATAATTGTTTTATAATTTGTAAAAATTTTTAAAGTTTATTTTTTCCGACGCGTTTCGTTGAACATTAAACAGCATATATACAAATTCCTGCTACTGAGTTTAACTTCTTATGGAAGTTATTAATAACTGATACATGTGAACGGACGTTACAAGAAACGCCTCAATACGTATGTTATTGCGTGTTGTTATATTCTGGAGGCCAATCGAATGAACAAATAAACGAGAAACTACCACAACAAGACGTCTTCCTTGGCACTGTTCACTGGTCTGAGTTAATAAAAAACGAAGAAAAAAATATATATATATATATATATATATAATAAATAATTTTAAAAAAAGCTAGAGAGCAAATGAGCATTTTTATTTTGGTTAAAATCTTAGCGTCCTTCCATCTTTTTAACGATCTGGGTTTACATAAGTTGATATTACAAAGAAAGAGGGAATGCTTTTCATGAAAAGCATTTCCTTATTGTATCAAAGTCCATGCGGTTGATTGCCAATTAAGGGAAATTACTGGTAAAGGATATCAATTATGCTCAAAGAAAAGTTTATATACATTCTAAAAACATCACCAGTAGGTAACTAATTTTCAACACCGACAATATTTGTAATAACATCGTTACAACTGTTTGATTAAAAATTTCAAAATAAATGACAAATAAAAAAAGTTTGTTTTACCACTTATGGGTTTCGAGAACGAGAAAAAGTGCTCGTCTGAAGTGAGTTACATTTTTATGACCTGAGCAAATAAGCTACTAGATTAATTTTCCACTTTTCCATATATGCATTCTTAATAACCTTAAGCTAACAAAGATTCGGAAATTTAATCATCCGCTCAACATGTAGCTTTTGAGCAATGTAAACATTTAGATTCTGGCGTTAAATTTTGCTCAAAATTTATCACCAAAAGGCCCCAGAAATGGCTTTTCTAGCTTTTAATTATAAAGTTTTCAAAAGGGCCCTTCCTCTCAAGAAATTCCCTGCCCTTAACATCATGATTCTTATGCATGAAATTATTCTGATGCCCTAGTGCTGGGGAACGGTATTGCTTCAGAAAAAATGAGACGCATCCCAACTACCAATAAGATAATAACTACATACTCAACCCTTACCAAACAGTTTTGAGTTTGAAGCAGGAAGAGAAGGATTCCCTTTTATTCCTTGGTATTCCTGACAAAATTCGAGTCCTTTTGCAGAAAGGTAAGAGAAATTTTCAGTACTTTCCATTTATCCATTGAAAATGTTCTGTTAGTTATTTTATGCTCTTCCTGTTAGCTTTCATAAATGCATTTGGCTCTTGCGAGAAGAGTCGCAGAGTGAAATGTTATTGGATACATTTATGTTCTTTTTTCTTGTACGCTCACTCTTCTCTCGTTACTTTTATTCTTTTGATGTAAGTGAAATTATGCTCAACAAAGGAAAAGAGGATAGGTGTTCGAATTAAACTGAAAACTCCAATATTTGATTAGGGTATAGATTTCACGGGGCATTCAGGCCTGAGCACAAATACAACATAATCTTGGCGGATAGATATCACAATTTTTTAAAATGATTTGGGCAACTTAACCAATTTTTCTTTATCTTTTAATTAGAGAAATGGTTTTAGGAAAAGTTATCACTTTAATGAAGAGTTGCTTTTTTATTACTTTTGAAAGAAGAAACATGAAGAGGTATCGCGTATCTCAAGCACGTCTTTTCGGAAACGGCTGGTCTTATTTTCATCTTTCTCTGTAGATTTTGGGACGACCAAACCATTTACCCTTTCTTACGATAACATTGACAGACGAAATTGCAATCCTGTAACCACTTGACTTTTTTTTCAAACTTTCGGATCTCCAGCGTTTTAATCTGCACTTTGGTTGCCTGAAAGAAGGTTTTTTACAGGATGAAGTTTGGGCTCGCACTTTACTTTATCAGCACGCTGCTGATAATTCAACCTGACGCCATTCTGAGCTGTGACACAGCAAATTGGTGGAAAAGTCTTGACCAGAAAGGTTGGTCTGTATGTCCAAATGATCGTACTTTCCTCAAAGGACTCTGGCGAAATGATCCATCGGGGAACAACGGCCTTTGGCTTATCGAGGAAGGAAAATGCTGCGGAGCTAAGGAACCAAGTTATGCTAATCAACCGTCAACTTGCACAAACGCAAACTGGTGGAAGGCATTAGACGGGTGAGTCGTGCTGGTTGAATATCACAGGGCTTTCAAAACTCTGGCTTTCGAAACTTTTCTGATGGAAAGTAATGCTTCGATAAATTCGAAGCTTCAAAATCCCTCCGGGCAACCCCCGGGGCATTTGAAATTGTGAGGATAGATTTTTTTAAATACCTGTCACCCGGGGCAGAAATTGTGCCTAATTTATTCGTAAGAGGCAAAATCAGTGACCGTGACTTTCTACACATGGACCAAACCTGAAAACGTAGACCATGTAGACCCACTTTTCTCCTGAGCGATTCGCTCGCACAAGTGAACTATTTACCCTAAACACCTCGGCATATTTGAAGATATAACCCTTGTATTTGGCTGGAAAGATCTGACACTTTCTGATCAATTTCCTCACCCCCACGAGCACGGACAACGGTCAAATGTCCGTTGGTTGCCTGAGGGGGGGGATTTTGAAGATTCGAATTGTTCAGCGCATAATAGAATGTCCTCTCTTATGTTTTGCCGTATTTAGGCTTTTAAAATAAACCAGTGAAGCTCTATCCAAAAATAATGCTCGGGGTATAACAGTCTACCAGGTTACAAAAACACGGATATCCTTTCCATAGCGTAGAGGTATTAAAGTAAGTTTGAACACTATTTCAGTTGTTCTATAACCTACGTTTTTCCTTTTCACTTCTCTTTTTCAGAAAAAATGCTTGGGCTCTGTGTCCTGCTGGCTATTACATGGAGGGCATCTATATCAGTGATCCAACAAATATTTACAACATCGAAGAGTCCAAGTGCTGTCGTCCACAGAATCATCCGAACGCTTATGATGACTGTTACGATGAGGATGTTGGCATTTCGTTCGACAAGAAAGGTTGGAGCGAATGCAAACGGGATGGTTATTACATGACTGGAATCTATAAAGGCGGTTGTGAGCACGTTTACTGCATTGAAAAATTCAAATGCTGCAGCATGAAGAAAGGTATTGCGTTCTATGTGCTTCAAAATCTTTACAATTATAGTAAAGAGGGAAGTTTAAGACTCTGAGTTATGCGGTAAGTTTATCAAAAGGGTACAAGATTTAACTAAAGAAAGATGTAAAATTGAAACTGTAAAAGGAAACAAACCATTGGAACTCTGATAGATAAAAGAACCCAGAATATTTCTGCATTTCAAATGAAATGTCACACCATTAAGGAGCAAGGCACTGGTTACAAGATTTGCAATAATCGGGCCTCATTTCACACTCATAATTTGCTCTTCAAGATGAGAGCAGCGATAAGATCATATTATGATATGATTGAATTTATCATTCACAATGAAAATAATCGTATGTCGATCAAAAAACTTACTTATTTTAGAAATAACTTATTTATTTCAGCTGCAGTTAATGGTGGATGGTCTGAATTCGGACCTTTTGGAGAATGCAGCGCCACTTGTGGAGGCGGAATCAAGGAGCGCTCACGAACCTGTACCAATCCCCCTCCGTCAGGAGGTGGAGCCCAATGTTCAGGGTCAGCTAAGGAAACAATGGTTTGTAATGTGGAGCCTTGTGATGGTAGGTACCTCACATCCTTTAAAAAATGACTTCAAATATCTTTTCTCAGTGTCTACTAATCGTATTATAGGCTATTATTATTCAACTGCAAAAAGTGAAGTACAAGCAACGCTCGAGTGGAGTACAAATTGTATATCCTATGAGATGTTTTCGTGTGTAGTATTGCTGAGTATTTTACCAGTTGTGCCGTATTTCGGTGAGCCCGTAGGGCGAGACAAAATACAAACAACGAGTAAACTACACAGCGTTACTACACACCAAAACGTTTAATGAGTTATTTATTGTCCAAGTCTTTCAGCTCATTTCTCTCAAGGCGGGAAAAGCAAAGCAGATAGAGAAGCGTAGTGCGCGCAGCGGACTGGTTAAACTGGTTTTTTACAGTGCAAAATAACCAGCCGTCCAAATGACCGTACAATGTCGCAAGATTTTTGTACTCTATTTCGCGCGTTCTTTGTACTCAATCATAGAGGACATACTTACTGAGAGATGTTATAAATTCACATATATTCGTTTGGTTCCTATTTTCAATGCGCCAAGGAAATATTAGTCTAAAATTCATTGATTTAGTTCCATTTT